CCGCAGCAGCTCCTGCTTGAGGCAGTCGTGGGAAACAGGCTAAAGATAGCCTGTTCCCGAAACCCTGTTTTTGTGCCTGAGTCTTAGGGTAGGTCCATCTTATGAGGGCCCAAAAGTGGCCCTCCGTTTCAGGCTGAAAAGCCTCAGGGCTGAAAAGCTCTGTTATAGGCTGAAAACGAAATAGGGCCTGCAGGCCCTCGTTTTCAGGTTCAGGCTGAAACGACATGGGGCCTGTAAGCCCATTTTTTCTAGGCTTTTAGGCTGAGAATGCGGGACGGGCCCTGCAGGCCCGTGTGGCTACGCAGTATGCCACACCCACCCCTCCTTGAAAGACCGAGCTTACCTGCGAGGGCGAAGCTGTCTGTCTGAGGGAGGGACCACAGTCCGGGTGGGGGGGGCTGGTCGTGAAGCTTCCTGAGCTAACCTTTGCTTCTCATAATGCGCGTAGATCAGTGGTGCGGATGCTTTCAAATCTGCTCCTGAAATCCACCGAGTGTCGTCGCGATCACATGCTTTGAATGTAACTTTGTACTGTCGCGGCTTGCTGCCATACTTGCGATCGGTGATGACGCGGTCAACTTCCTGATGACCATCCATAGAAGGAGGGTCCTGCGATCGTCGGCCCGGAAAGCCGTCGCTCTTAGCAGGCGTGTATGTTGCCAGCTTCGAGGCGTGAAAGACTGAATGGACCGTCAGATGCGGGGGGATGTTGATCACAAAGGAAGGGCCATCTGGCTCATTGCCTGCGGCTGATTTTACGGGCCATGGTCCAAACCACTTGGGAAGCAGTTTGCATGAGACATCCTGTTCCAATGCAAACTCTTCCGCGGAAACCCAAACCAGGTCGCTGGCGCGGATGGGACATGGCACGCGATGCCTGTTGGCTTGTTGCTGCATAAGGACTTGAGCCTTTTGCATATTCGCGCGGACTTGAGCCAGCAATTCCTGTACTTCCGGACGGACGCGGGAGAGCGAGCGGCATCGATGTCGGCTGGTCGTGGGAGGAGAAGGTCGGCGAAGATACGGCCTTTCCGTCCACAGTGGTGCAACTCGAATGGAGTCACGCCGATCGCCGGGTGCACTGAAGTGTTGTAGGCAAACTCTATGTCGGGGAGGCGGTCAACCCAACCTTTCTGGTCCGGAYGGATGAGCGTACGAAGCATCATTTGAGCGGTTTGATGTGCCCGCTCCGTTTGCCCGTCCGTCTGTGGATGCCGAGCCGAACTTGGTTTCATCTTTGTGCCGGACTCCTGCATGAGAGCAGTCCAAAATGCCAACATGACGCGAGTGTCTAGGTCGCTGACAATGTCTTCCGGTACACCGTGGCCACAAATCCAACCAGTGTGCATGAGACCTGCCAGCTCGGGAGCCGTGGAGTAGTACTTGCAAGGGAGAAAACGCGCATACTTACTCAATCGGTCCACAACCGTGAGGATGCCATCGTGCCCGAGGCGATCGCGAGGAAATGGTCCGGTGACATCCATGGCAATGGAAAGGCCGGGTTCCCATGGGATAGGCATCGGGTGCAACTCGCCGTAGGGATTGCGATTGCACCGCCGAGAAGGCGAGTCCGAAGACGACGGTCTCGTGGGACACACAACAAGTCCTTGCCTCTCGAGTGGAGGAGCAAGTACTCGTCGGCAATGCGATAGTGGCTGGCCAGCGGGTGATCCGAAGATAACTGCTCATACAACGTGGCGAAGTTCGAATCCGACCCATTTCCCGGGATGAAGTGTCGATGAAGTTCCTCGTCGAATGCGAAGGCATGATGTGTCATAGCGCAAAGATCAGGTCTTCGCAAGAGTGCATCTGCTGCGCGATTGGAAAGGCCGGGAAGATGTTTCGGTGTAAAGTCGAATTGGTCAATGAAGTACATCCATTGTCCGATCGTGCTGCTCACCATATCCTGCGTCTTGTAGTACGTCAGTGGGTTGTTGTCCGTAACCCATGTGAACCTACGACGCCCAAGGAGGAAGTGCCGGCATCGCTTGAGAGCCATCACGAACGCGAGGAGCTCCTTCTTCCTTGCATCATCAAGCGAGTTGATGGGAGGCACTTTGTGGCTGAAATACTCCGCAGGGTGCCAATCATCGCCGTCGTGTTGTTCCAAGACTGCCCCAATGCCATAGCCGGAAACGTCAGTTGTCACCGTCGTAAGCAGGGTGGGTTCATAGATGTTAAGGACGGGAGCCATGAGCATGGTCGTCTTACGTCCTTGGAATGACCGGCGTGCGTCGTCATCCAATACAAATGGCACCTTTGGCGATTGTAATCTCGTCATCGGTGCAGCAATCCTTGAGTATCCGATGATGAATCGCTGATAGTAGCCCGCCAACCCCATGAATGAACGAACGTCCGTGGTGTTGGTGGGCTCGGGCCATACGCAGAGGGCCTCGATCTTGTCCGCAAGCGGACGGATGCCTTGCGTCGTCACATAATGTCCCAAGTACTCCAGCTCCTGCCATGCGAATTCGCATTTATCGTAGTTGGCTTTGTACTTCGCTAGTCGTAGCCGCTCCAAGACGGTGCGCAGGTGTTCCACATGCTCGTCCAAACTCCGGCTGTACACCAGGATGTCGTCGAGGTAGATATGTACGAATCGATCCAACATGTGTCGGAACTCCGTTGTCATAGCCGCCTGGAAAGTGGTCGGGGCATTCGTAAGGCCAAATGGCAAAACGAGCCATTCGAAATGCCCATATCGCGTCGTAAACACGGTCTTGTAGCGGTCCTACTTTCGAATCTCGAGTTGGTGATATCCCGACTTGAGGTCCAGCTTGGAGAAGAACTTGGCGTCGCCCAGTCGTTCGAGAAGGTCGTCGATGCGTGGGAGAGGGCCGGCGTTTCTGATTGTTTGCGCCTTGAGCTTACGATAATCGATGCACAACCGCAGATCCTTGTTCTTCTTCCGGACGAAGAGAACAGGMGCACCGTATGGCGATGAGCTAGGCCGAATCCAGCCTTTCTCCAGAAGGTCGTCGAGTTGTGCCCGAAGCACACTTAACTCTTCCTCGCTCATTCGGTAGATGCAACCACGCGGAGGTACGACCCCGTCCTCGAGGATGATCTCGTGGCGGATGGGCCGATCCGGTACTACTCCGTGCGGGCCTTCGAACACGTCGTCGTAGGCACCGAGAAGCTCGATGATGCGTGGATCCGAAGACGAGTTCGTCGGTGAAGCGTCATGGGGCGGGAGGGCGTGGAGAAAACACACCCCCATCTCCTCGATGTCGTCTCTGACGATGGAAGCTCGCATGCTTGCGGCGTATACCACGTGGCAGCTGATGGAAGGGTGATGAGGAGGCACCGTGCATGGGACTAGTACTCTGTTCCGATCACGAACGTGAACGGTGCGGCGGTAGAAGTTCACCGGGTGGTCCTCGCTTCGCAGCCATGACATGCCCAAGATCATGTCGAATTTGGTGTCCACAATGTCGACGGACGCGGCCTCACTTGCGTGAGGGGCAAAGTACACTGGGACGTCATCAATGCACCGGTCGATTGACTTGTGAGTGCATCCGCCAACGTGACTTGCGTAGGCTGGGACTTCCTCAGAACGCGTGGGCCAAGGCCGGGGCGCACCATGAAGTCCTGGCTGATGTAGTTGCGAGACGCTCCGCGATCGATCAATACGCTGCAGGTCGCCTGTCCGATTTGAATGCGTAAAGCAATGGTGCGTCGATGTCGTCGTACCGTTGCGTCTTGAACGCGCGGTCGATCTTCGCAATGTAAGCATGAAGGTCGACAACCTCTACTCCAACGTCCATCAACGGAGCTGGTACCTCAGTGTGCAAGTAATCCCGCAATTGTGCCATGAGCACATTGCAATGCGGTTTCGACAATCGACCGGTCGGGGGAACGGGCATCCACTGGAAGTCCGTGAGCACATTGCAATGCGGTTTCGACAATCGACCGATCGGCGGTTTCGACAATCAACCGGTGGGTCGAGCACCTCAAGTCTTGACCACGACGATGAATCCCCGATGATAGAAAGCCGCAAAGTTGCCGAATCGGTTGCCGACGGTGGTGAATCCGTGCATGCGGTGGATTGTTGCACGTGGAGCGGTTGGTCCAGCGGTGGGACCAAGTGGACAGCATAGTCCTCGTAAGCATACCAAGTGGACATGCGCATCCTCCTCAGATGTGTAGGAGGCCGCTAGCAAGGCGGAGTCGCCTCACCTCCTGCGCGACTCAGTTTCCCAAGTTAATACGAGGCGGAACATCCTCCTTGCCTTGATCAGGGCATTGGGAGGTCTTGTGCTTGGTTTAGCAGCAGTCGTAGCAGCCGCGGTACTTATACTCGGCCTCGGTCAAGGTAAACTTGACCCATGGTGCTGGCTGTCCGTTTCCGGCCGGCGATACGGTTTTCGCCTTCCCGTTTCCTCGGGGCTTGTTGTTGCTTCGCAGCTGGACAGAAGCCACCTGATCTCCCTCACGTGACGCTTGGGTGGTTGTCGGGTCTTCTCCACTGTCCGTTTGGACTGTAGAGACATGTTGCGGCCGCGGACCAGTTTACACCTTCTCCACAAAGGTAGGCTGCCATGTTGACTTCTCGTGTGCAGCCGGCCTGTTGGTCTTGATCTCTCGCCTTGTTGATGATTTCGGCGAATTTGGTATACTGCTCGCGATCACCAAGTGCGAGGCTGAGAGCGGCGCATGACCTGTTGTAGAACTCACGGCGCAGATGTGTGAACGGTAAGTCCAGATCACGCCTGGCCTCGATCTTCTGCCAATTCGTGAGCCAGTCACGTGTCGGTGTGCTCCCTTGAGCCATCGCGAAGATGCGGTTGATGGCGAGCGCAGGTGCGTCGGCCACTATGAACCGCTTCTTCCACTCCTTCCTCATGACCTCCCAAGGGACCATCTTGTACAGGTGCGAAACATGGACGCCGTGGACGTTTGCCACGTGGCTGAGCCAGATTTGGCATCCTCCCTTGGTGTCGAGGAACAGCGCACTGATGAACAGATGGTTTGGGACCTCGTGAATCCCCAACTCCGTCGTAAATCCTTGCCACCAAACGACCGGGTCTTGACGAGTGTAGTCGTCAAACTTCTCGATCCGGAATGTCGATATCTTGTACGGCTTCGTCGAGCTGTTGTTGGTGCTGTACTCAGATGGCTGCTGTTGCTGCCCGAACTTGGCATCCAGATCGTCGAGCCACTGGCTGATGGTAGCTGGCGCTGTGAAGGTACTAATGTCACCAAGCATTGCCACTACGTGGTCAACGCGTTCCTCCAGTTGGCGGTTCGAGGGTGCGCTGCTGGACTCGCCAGCCTGCGGTCCTAGTGCAGCTTGCTCCAGGTCCTGCATACGGGAATCAAGTGCCCGTGTCGCATCCTCGCGCTGGGCCTTGTAGATCCTCATGGCCCGCTGGAGATTTGCCAGCTCAAACTGCAGATGGTCAATAGAGTAAACCATCTTAGTCATGAGCTTGGCGGTGAACTCCTTGTGCTGCTCCTCCGGTGTCGCGTCGTCGTGCCCTTCAGATGGTTCAGAGTGTCAATACTTGAGTCTTTCGATGCTGGCGGCTTCATTCCGCTGCAACAGATCATGGGCTTCCTTTCGGCGTGCCTGGGTATCTGCATCTGCTTCGGACTGAAGCCGCTGCTTCTCAGCTGTTGCCGCTGCTTCAGCCTGTATGCGGGCAGCCTCGGCTGCCAGCTGGCGCTGTTCCTCAGCCTCGATCAGTGCGAGCTGAGTCTGGAACCGCTGTTTGTAGTTGGCAATAGACTCGTTGGCCAGTTGGCCTGGCATGCCCAGAGCTGCGCCCGTCATGGTTGCGGGGCACTTCTGACGTGGCACTCTTGCTGTCGTGGCAATGCTGCCGTGGCACTGTGACCAACGTTGCACTGCTGACATGGCACTGCTGACGTGGCACTGTACCAACTCGGAAATGCATGGAACGGGTGGGTGGGGAGGGAAAACGCAGGTAGGGAACCAACCCAACAATACTTTCCTCCCGGCCCTAATCAACGGATAAAAAATAAAAGATAAATGAGGACTACTTCGTTCTTTTTTTTTCTTTCTTTTTTTTTGTATATCTGTCAATCTGTTATGAGTGAGACATGTCAGATGAGTACTATGAACGAGATCTAGGCTAGGCTCCGCAGATTTTCGGCTTTCACAAAAAATGCGATCTTGAAAAAAAATTTTGCTAAATAGAGTAGAGATCCGATTTTCAGAAAAGAACTAAATCCAGTTTCTGAGAATATGGCAGCCTCCGAATACGCCTAACGAAATGTTGGTAGGCTTCGCAAGATTTCGGTTTTCAAAAAAAATTGCAAGATAGAATGGAAATTCGATTTTCAGAAAAGAATAATCTCAGTTTCCGAGAATATGACCACTTCTATCGTTATCCCAATATGCCTAGAAAACGAAATACTAACATAATAATTTTTTTCAGCTATGTATGCGAAATATCAGAGAAACAAAATGCTACTATCGGGAATTTTCAGACAAAACGAAATGTTATTTATCAGAAATTTTCAGATATTTGTTACCTGAAAACGAAATACCAATATCAGAAATTTTCAGGTAAAACGAAATGCGAATATCAGAAATTTTCAGATATTTTCAGAAAAGAATAATTAAAGTTTCCGAGAATATGACTTCTATCGTTATCCTAATGAGCCTAGAAAACAAAATACTAACATCAGAATTTTTTTCAGCTATGTATGCGAAATATCAGAGAAACGAAATGCTACTATCGGGAATTTTCAGACAAAACAAAATGCGATTTATCAGAAATTTTCAGATATTTGTTACGTGAAAACGAAATACCAATATCAGAAATTTTCAGGTAAAACGAAATGCGAATATCAGAAATTTCAAATTTTCAGATAGTTGTTCCGAGAGAAAAAAAAAAATTCAGAGATTTGACGAAGTCCTACTTGATTTACTAACGAGTAATCAATAGATCAAGCAAGCTGGCTACTTGATTGAGCGGGACCTCTGAATGAGAGGTCCGCTCCGATAACAAACTGTTGCATACTGTAACGTGCACACCAGAACAAGAACCGACCTCTCAATACAAAGTACAAGATAGCGTAGCGGAAGACTTAGATACCAATGATCCGAACAATCAATATTGCAATGCAGCCCAGAACATAAATCATTGTCGTCATCTCCATGGTGTGAAGGGGTCTGGCGCTCAGACAGGAAGAAGGCGCCTGCCCCAAACATACACATACGAAGAAGAGGGGGGTTAGACGAAGAAGAGGGGAAGATGGGAATGTCGTCAACACCAAGTCTTCGGCACAGGCCCAAATAGTC